CCCCCAGTCCTCCCCTCACCCCCACTCCCACCTCCTGGGCCAGAACTCAGTCACGGGCACTTCCAGCTGCACGGGAGGCTGGGACATGCAGTCTCCAGCTGGAAGGCCAGCGCTTTTGTGTTTTTCTTTTTGTTTTCATCTTTGATGGAGGTGAAATCCACATAAGATAAAATTCACCATTTTAAAGTGAACAATTCAGTGGCATTAATTACATTCACAATATTGTGCAACCTGTGCCTCTGTCTAGTTCCAGAACATTTTCATCACCTCAAAAGGAAACTCCGTCGCCCTTAGCAGTCACTCCCCATTCCCCGCCCTCCCGCGAGTTCCTGGCAACCCTAATCTACTTTCCGTCTCTGAATTTGCCTGTTTTGGACATTTCACATAAATAGAACCGTAAAACACGTGGCTTCTGTGGCTGGCGTCTTTCACTGAGCGTGAAAGATGGTTTCAAGGCTCGTCCACATTGTAGTGTGTATTAGAGCTTCCTTCCTTTTTATGGCTGAATAATATTCTATTGTATGGATGTACCATGTTTTGTTTACCCACTCATTTGTCGATGGATTGTCTCCACCTTTTGGTGATTGTGTAAATGATGCTGCTATGAACGTTCGTATACAAGAATTTGTACAGGAATACACCTGCGGTGTTACAGCAGATGAAAGCACTTTGGGGAATATAACTGGTTCTTTGGGTCATAGGTAACTAAGTCTCTGTTTAACCTTATGAGGTCAGTGTTATGTTTTTAAAGAAGAGGGTTGAGGTGGGTGGGTATAAGCAGATCCTCATTAGTTAAGCACTCACTGGTTAAGGGCAGGATTGAAGGGAAGACACAGGAGCCCCCTCTGCCCTGTACCTGTCAGGAAGCCCCCACAAACCACTTTGACACTCCCACAGTCAAGTCACTGTTCTGCCCAGCCAAGACTCGGCCTGCTCCAGGGAAACGGAGACCTTGACCGTGGGAACAGACAGCAAGAAACATCTTTTGTTGTCATTAAGTAGGCCTCCTGTTACATGGTAGCCAGCCTCCCGAGAAGCTGACAGGGACTCGGGGGTGTTCCCCATGGGGAACCAAGGATGGCTTCAGCATGAGGTGAAGACTCTGCCCCTGTCCTGACTGCAGAGCCTCACAGCAGCGGTAGGACATGTCAAGACATGGTCTGAGGTGGACACAGGCAAACACTGTGAGCATTTCATTAATAGCATCTTTGCAAAGACACCGCCTTGCGTGTTTGGCTTCACATCTTACTCTTCTGTGAACAAAGGAGGGGCTTTATGGTCAATATAGGAAGAAAAAAACCCAAAGGACATGATGGCACTGGTGACACTCAGGATGAAAGTGATGAAGCGTGGCTGGGGAAGCGGTTTATGGGGCCACCGCTCTGGCCCAGCCCTGAGCTTCATGCCGTGCCAGGGCTTAAAAATAGAAGAATCCTATCTGGTAGGAGAGAGCAGGCAGGAAACAGAAAACAATGCCCACACAAGGTCCCTGGCGTGGTCTCCACAGTTCCTTCCCAATTTGGGGTTGTCCATTCCTCTCCTGACCCTGCCGCCCCCCCACACACAGTTCCAGGCCTGTCTTTCGCCAGCTCCCCGTCTCTCCTCCACAGGTGTAACAACCGCACCCAGTGCGTGGTGGTCGCTGGCTCCGACGCCTTTCCCGACCCCTGTCCCGGGACCTACAAGTACCTGGAGGTGCAGTACGACTGTGTCCCCTACAGTGAGTCATCTTGTTCCTCATGCGGACGCGGGCCCTTCCCCCTTCCAGAAGCGAGTGAGGAGGAGACACCTTGAGCGCGCACACACACGCACACGCACACGCACACGCACACAGGGCCAAGTCGGGGCCAGGCACACGGGGGACAGCTGGGCCTGCTCCCTGCCTCACACATTCTCTTCACCCAGACACCCTTGTCCACACTGGTGTCTGCCCCACCCACACCCCCACCCTCACAGACTCTGTCCCCATCCACTGGGCACCTTCTCCAACTCCTGTTACTCTGGCCTGCTCACCCTGCTTCTTCACATGCCCTTGGGCTTATTTATACACTCCAAGGCCACACCCACGTACTCCACTTGGCACACTTATATCTCCTCCTCTCCCTGGACCTTGACCTCGCTGCCCTCTAATTCCTCTGCCTCCCTCCTCTCACCCCTTCCCTTCGTGACCCCCTCTTACGCACCTGCTCTTCCCTCTCACCCCCCTTTCTCTGAGTTCCCTTTCCTTTCTCTTGTCCCCCTCACCCCTCACGTGCCCCCAGTCCTGCCCCTTCCCAGTCCTGGAAGCTGGACTCTGTACTCATACAGAGGCAGACCACCCTCTGAGGCCTGGTGGCAGATCAGGTGTGAAGGGCTAGGGGCATCTTCCACGGATTCCTAACTCTTGGTTTGTTTGCCCGTTACCACAGTAGTACTTCCTGTCTGCAAAGGAAGTGCCACCATGTTGGACTGAGGGTGGCACCAGGAAGCCTGAGAAAGGTGATCTGGGGAGCCAGGGGCCTACCATTCTTGCACCTGGCCAAGGGGAGCAAACAATGACAGGGTCTCTCCTCCTCAGCACCCCACCCTTAACGTGGCCCTTCTTTCCAGCCCTTACTCTTCCCTCCCTTTCCCCCATCATCCATCCCCTCCCCTGCACCCCCAGCTTCATGTAGGCAACCTGGAGGTAGGACCTCCGGGCAGAGGAGGGAGGAGGCAGGGCCACCAGGGTGTCTGAGTGTGAGGGGGTAGGGGCGGGGGCGCAGGAGGCCCTGTGACTCTCCCCCCCTCCCCTCCCGCCCCAGCCTTCCCCCCCACCCCAACCTTTGATTTCTCCTCGCAGGTGACTGCAGACGTGCTCGGGGAGACGGGACAGCTTACGTGCTTCCATAACCTTCTTTTACTCCTCACCCTTTCCTTTCAGCGACCAAGGCCTCCAGCCACTGCCTGAGAGGGACGCCCATCTGATCCTTGAAGCCTCCCCACAGCACTGGGGACACCGCCCAGCCCCATGGCTGGGGCAGCAGGGAAAGGGGGCAGGAGTTGGGGAGCGTAGCACAGTGGGGAAATCAGGCTGGGTTCGAGGCTTGGCCCCGGCCCTTGGGTTTTCTGGCTCTGAAACTTGAGCAAATGATGTAATTTCTCTGGGCTGCTGCAGAAGGAGGCGAAAGTCCAGGAGATCATGTGTACGAAGCGCCTAACCCAGGGCTGGCCGCAGAGGCTGCTCCTGGTGACAGAGTGCTGGATGTAAACTCCTCCAGGGTAGAGGCCTCATCTTCACCCCCGCCCAGCGCCCAGGCCCAAGCCTGGTTCAGGATGTGCTCAATAATGGTTTGGGTGCCCTTTCAATCCAGCTGAACCTATACCTTCCTCTTTAATGGTGGGAGGGGAATCAAACACCTTCCCTGAGGTGTTGCCCGGAGTACAGAGAATGCGGGTAAAAGCTCCTTGTGCACCCTCAGCCATAGGTGTGAAGGAAACGGTGCCTGCTTTGAATAGCCAGGTAGCCTCAGCCGTGTTGCTTCACTTCACTGGTCCTCTCTCCCCCTCTATAGACAGGCTTCTCAAAAGGCTGCCCGAGAGGTGCTTAGCACGGTTCCTGGCACATAGTTAAGCGCTGGGCACTTGGTAGTTGTTGCTTTTCTTGTGACTCCTCATCATGATTTTTACCAATTATTATAATTGCTATCGGTAATGAAAAATAAAACTAACATCAGATGACAAACCCAATTCCTCCTGAGGCAGGTAAGATAAAGGGCAGGGGAAAAAAAAAAAAAAAAATCCCCTGATCCAAGTGGCATCCAAAGCAAGTAGATACCGTGCAGGTAAAGGAGCAGGAAAAAAGTTAGAGGGTGTGGGGAGGGGAGGGGCTTAGAGACCTCCTGGAGCCAAACCTCCAAGGGTGGGTGGGAGGGCATGACCCTCAGAGAGCAGGAGGGGTCAGGGAAAAAAAAAACTGATCCAAGTGGCATCCAAAGCAAGTAGATACCGTGCAGGTAAAGGAGCAGGAAAAAAGTTAGAGGGTGTGGGGAGGGGAGGGGCTTAGAGACCTCCTGGAGCCAAACCTCCAAGGGTGGGTGGGAGGGCATGACCCTCAGAGAGCAGGAGGGGTCAGGGGATGGGCAGCCCCCAGTCTGATGGGAGAGAGCTAGCCTGAGCCCTGGGAGAGGCAGGGGCACACACACATACACGCACTCATAGTCACAGACATGAAGGATGTGTCTTGGGGGGCTGAGCTAAATCCCAGTCCCAGAAGAAGAGGCCTGGTGTGACAAGGGTGATGGAAGCCACGCCGCAGAACAGGGAAGCCGGGCACTCACCTATCCCCCAGAGTTTCTCTGAGCACCTCCTGCATACCAGGCCCTGGATGAGGCGCTGGGAAGGGAGCCAAACACTGCTCCTCCAGAGAGGTGGCAGGAGAGCGAGGCCCTGGTCAGAGGTTCCTGTGGGGTCAGGGACACAGAGCCTGGAGGGGGCGCGGCCTGGGCAGCCATCTTGCCCTGGGCTTCAGAGGCTGGGGTGACCCCAGTGCTGGTCAGGAGTGGGTGCAGGGGCTACCGTGGGAAGGGAGCAGTGGGTGTGCAGGGCTCCCTGCCACACACACATACCGGACAGGCCCGACTAACACTGGATTTGCCTTGCAGCAGAGCACAGCCTAACCATGCCCCCCTTCCTCCCCCAGGTGCCGCCCGTTCATCCCAACAGCGGGCTGGGGAGCTCCCGGCTCCTGGGCCCCCAGGGGGGAGCTGGGCAGAGAAACTGAGCCTCGGGCTTGCCCCGGGGGAGTGTGGGAGCGTGTCTGTGCCCCACCTGCTGTCCTGCCCCATCTGTGATGTCCCCCCACCCCAGCCTCTTCCCTTTCTGCCTCTGTCTCCCCCACCGGGCTCTTTGAGGCCCAGGGGGCTCTGCCTGTCTGCCTCTCCATCATTCTGTGTCTGATGCTGCCACCCTCTCTCTGTGTTGGCTTGTTTGGGGTTCTGAGGGTTTGGGGAAACTCAGCTGGAGTCTTGCAAGGCCAGCACAGAAGGGGAAGGAGTCCAGTGTGTTCTCTCTCGTGGGGCTACCAGGCCCCAGGAGGCACTGAACCCCCTCCCCTGGGCCCCTGGTTCTAGCAGGAGGGCAGCAGGCCGGGCTGAAGGGGATCTAAGTGGTTCCTTCACCCACCCCCCACCATCCCTGCCTGGTGCCCCCCTAAGCGGAGCTGCCTCCCAGCTGGGGCTCCCCTCCCCAGTCCCCACTGCACTGAGGGTGCCCCTTCCCATCTGAGGGCTCTGTCCCCCTGCCTGCCTGTACACCCCCCTCCCCCCCCCACCCCTCGTCTCTCTCGGTCTCTGTCCTCCCATGTGTCTCCCCTCCCTGTGACCTGTGTCTCCCTGACACCCTCCCTGAAGGAAAGGACTTGGGGGCGGGGGCTGATGCTATACCTTCGGGGTTGGGGAACCAGGAGTGAGGAAAGAAAGGAAAAGGGGGCGTGTTGCCAGAAAAGAAACGAAAGCAATTTAATCTTTTTTTTTTTCTCTTTTTTTTCTTGCACATTTTTTTTTTCAATTTGTTTT